CCCTTCCCGGGGCAGCCACAGCCCCGTTCTGCCGTGCAGAGCCGTGCTGATCCGTGCCTGTCCCTGCCACAGAGCCATGCTGATCCGTGCCTGTCCCTGCAACTGCACCAGCAGGGACATTCATGGAGATGCCACACAAGGGAAAATCACACCATCCTCTCCAGCACCTCACCGTCCCAGCTCATTAGATAGGAGATCTCTGTGGGGTAAACCACTGGTGGTGTGGCTCTGGTCATTCCCTGAGGGTCAGGGCAGACAGCAGCAGACTGAGAGCTCTCTCTGCCGTTCTGCAGAGCTTTCAGAGCAAACCCCAGGGTTGGCTTATTCATGCTGTGTAACACAGCTCAACAATATCAGAGATAAGTAAAAACAAGTTTAGCCAGTCTAAAAACTGGGATTAAGGCAGGCTCAGCTGTGCTGCTACAACCAAATCTCCACCATCAGCCCAAGGACTTCTTGGAATGGAGACAAGCAGAAGATGGGAAGGTCCAGCCCAGGGCAAGGTCATGTCAAAGCTGCCCTTGGCATCCTGGAGCAATGCCAGCCATGGCTCCAGGCTGTGAGCCTGCCATGGGGGAGCAATCCCAGCACCACGGGATGGCCACAGAGCACAGCACAGATGGCAACACGCACAGCCCAGCCAGAAAAACAAAGTGGTGAACGTGCTGTTGTTTCTGTGCTGCTCATTGCTTGTTCCTGTCCAGACTATTTAGTCTATTTAACAGAGATCCTTCCCGGCCTTTTGACAACACACCAATTGTTCCATCTCTTATCAGTTTAGGCTTTGATGCATCATCCATCTAATGCTATCTGTCTGCATTTCTGACACCTCTACCTTCTCCCAGCACTGTGTTTGGCACCTGCTGCACAGGCAAGAGGGGCAGCACGTGGGGCTGGAGGGGACAGGAGCCCCACACCAGCACACACAGCTTGGGCCTCGAGGACATCACAGTCAGCAAAGACAGCCCTGTGCCGAGCCTGATCCCCAGGTAACCACCCAAAACCCTCCAAGGGAGGATGCCATGTCTGCCACAGGAGCCAGGAGAGCTCTGAACATCCCTCCCCGGGGTCAGGGATCCAGTGCTGGCCATGGGTGAGCTGTGCTCTGTGACAATGACCCATTCCCAGTGCCCAGCTGGGTGGACGCCCGTGGCTTTCCCCTCCCACCTGCAGCAGCACATGGCTGGAGAAGGAAACAGCGATGCCTGGGGCAGGGAACTGGTGAGGAGCAGCAGGTTCTGGGCACCCCGAGCCCGGGAAGTGCTGCACCCATCAGAGCTCCCAGCAGGAGCAGAGCCAGCCCAGCCCAGCGCCAGGAGAGTGCAGCTGCAGGGAAGCACTGCCGAGAGCATCTCCCCAGCCACCGTCTCTGCACCGCCTCATTAGCTGCTCTGCTACTCCCATGAGCATTCAAAAGAACAACAGTAACAACCACAACAAAAAGAATCACGCGATCCAGCCAATTTTCTGAAACAAACGCTCTCCAAGGCCATTGTCTGCAGCTGAAAGGGCTGAATGCAGCACTGCGTCTCGGCCAGGGAGGATGCCAGAGCTGGCTGCCACAACACAGCGGGCACCGAGCTGCTGGCTGCCCAGGGGACACTCCTTTCATCCCACCCGTGCTGCCCACAGCCACTGCAGCCCCCCAGCAGATGGACACGAGGATGAGCAGCAGGGCTCGGAGCGCTGGGATGCTCGGAGATGGGGCTGAGCTCAGTGCATGGCTCCGGGGAAACAGAGGCAGGGCTTTGCTCACCGAGTCACAGCAAAGTGGGTGGCGAGTCCCAGAGCAGAGCTGCCCAGCTGTGTCCCCAGATGTGTGCAATGGGGGTGTCGGTGTCACCCTCAGTGCCCCCGCGGCTGAGGCACAGCCGGGGACAGCCCAGCACCAGGGACAGCGGCGGCTCCCGCAGCCCAAATCGCCGTCAGAATTGGATAGCCTGAAATCTTTGCAGCTTTAACAGACAAAAGGGAAAGAAAGCACACCTCACTTCAGCCACAACCAGCCTGCGATCCAGCGTCAAAGGGAAAAGGGGAATAAAGAGATGGATACTGACAATAAAAACTCCTTTACCGGCCTCTTAAGCTGCTCCTCTCCTGATAAGACTTGGACGCTGCAGAAGCATTACCAGGAAATCAAATAAAAGAGGACGAGCGTCCTCCTAAGCAGGACTTATCCACTCCTGGAGAAGCAGTAATATACTCGGCAGCAGGTACAACATGCCTTCTCCAGGCTGGGGCTCTGTCCTTCCCGCAGCAGCTCTCCCTTGCCAGACTCAGGGATTAACGTATGCTCACCCCGGACCAGAGGGAGAGGTCAGAGAAACCAGCAGCAGCAGGGGCTAAGGCAGATCTCTCCCTAACACTGGTAATTGGCTGCACCCCAGGAGCTATCACTTCCTTGGAGCCTCATATTTTTTGTGTTTCTTCTTTTGATTTCTGGGCAGAGAGCTGGGCTGGGCTGCAAAGCTCATGGGCTGGGCTCGCAGCAGGGAGTGAGGATATGAAACATTCCCTGGAGCTCAGCAGCACCCAAACCCAGCCTCACCCCGGGGCCACACTGCCACCACCTTGGAGGGCAGGGATCAGCACTGACCCCATGCCCCTGCAGGGAGCCAGTGGCTGTTTGTGTCCCTGTCCCCACCCTGCCTGTGTCCTTACCTGCCTGCTGCCCACTCTTAGCCCCAAGAGCCTGCTCTGCATCCCCCTGTGTCCTCAGTGACCACCATGGCACAGACACTGGAAAGAGCTCAGCACAAAGTGAAAGGATTTATCAGGAGAAACCTCTCTGTGCCCAGCCCAGCACCATGGACGTATCCCTGTGGGAGCACCTGGCTCTTCACGGTGTCTTGACTGAGGTGGCATGAAGATATCCCACTCCTGAGGCTGGGACACTCGTGTGCTCAGAGCTGACACTGATCTGGTCACACTCTGCCACCCAAGGAGAGAGAGACATCAGCTCGGTGCAATCACTGCCCATCATGATTCACCCACCACCAAGGATGTGTCTTCAGCCCTCCCTGCCATGAACAGGGCTAACACAGAGCCCTCATCCCCCCAAACAGATAAAGACAGAACAGGAGTTACTCCAAAAGCTGACGCATCCGTTTTTAATTTCCTACCGCAATAAATCTCTGCTCCCTCTGAGGACTGATTTTCTGCCTTTGCTCTCAATGCTGACTGGCCATCTGCCACCAGAACAAACTAGCACCACCTGCCTGGGAGGAACCATGGTCTCCCTCCAGCCAGGACACTCACACCATTTCCACCTGCCTTTAAACAAGTGCACCAGGTGAAAGCACTTTGTACAGCCCAGGAAGGGCTCACAGCTCAGCTCTGGGATGGGAAGCTCTGGCCCCTTCTGCAGAGGGGCAGTTTGCAGGTGTGCCAGCTCTCCTCCTTCTTCCTCTGCTGCTGTGAACAACCCAAGAAACAACAGAGTCCCCCTCTCCTACTGCAAGCCCATGGCTGCTCCTCCATCTGCCAGGCTGCAGTTGGTGAGTGGCTGGTGAGGCATGTGGGATCCTGGGCACGTGTGGCAGCACCAGGGAACGGGCCAGGAAGGGTTTTTATGGGGAACATATGGCAACTCCAGCCTCACAGCCCAGTCTGCATCTCAGATGGAGCCGTGGGGCTGCCAGGGCACGTGGGGACCAACAGCAGGGACAAAAGCAGGGCAGGCTGGCACAGGATCCACCACAGTGTGTCTGCTCCATCAGCCCTGCAGCTGCACCCAGCAGGCAGCTGGGCACCTTGGCAGTGCCATTTGGCCACATTTAGGTGTCAGACACCCCCAGCACGGGCAAACAGATGCTGTCCTTCCTGAGGAGCTGCTTGGCCACACAGACCCAGACAGGCTGGTAGTGCTGCCCCTGCCCTGGCAGTGTTCAACAGCTGACTGCAGCGAGGAGAGCTGGGTGAGGGGTGCCAGCCTGGCTGAGACCAACTCCAGGGGCAGCACAATAACCCTGGCCTTCATGGGTGAAATCCTTCCTGGACCCAGCCAGGTGAATGCAGCCTGCACACAGCTCTGCCATATGGCCCACGACTTTCCCCCCGTGCTCCAGCCTGGATTTGCTGTCAGGATTGGGCAGCAGTTTGAAACTCCTCAGAGGGAACTGGCTGTCCCAAGCTGGCTGTCCCAAGCTGGCAGGCGAAC